CAGTCCTTTGTTAATTCCGTCCCAGTCCTTTGTTAATGAAGTCCCAGTCCTTTGTTGAGTTTTTCTTCTTTAGGTCCTGGATTTAAGTTTTGTAGTAGTTTTTCTTTGCTTCCCCATTGTTTCTGTATTTTCTCCATTTCATTGTTTTCCCCCCATCTGTTGAAAGTCTTCTGTCTTTTCCTGATCCAGCCTTTATTTGTTCAGGGCTTGTCCAGTGGTTTTGTTTTCTTATTTCTGATTGGCATGCATACATCAAGTGCAGTTTGAATGCAGGAGCGGAATGTCTCCACCTCAGCATCTTGATGGGCAGGTGATTAAAGTCTCCACACAGGATGAGATCCTTCCTTCCACTACCAGAGATGAAACTGAGCTGGGGAGTGGTTTAGGACGAAGCTGAAGCCACATACACTCAAACTCCTCTTTCTCTAGGTCAGTTCTTCTCTTTGCCTGCATACTGTGATTCACGTACATAGCCACGCCCCCTCTTCTCATCCGCTCTCTGGACCTGTCATTTCTAAAAGCTGATAGTCTTGTATGAACAGAGATTCATCTGGGATATTTTCGTGGGCCCATGTTTCAGTGACACATCTAATGTCTGCATTTACTGATTTAAGCAGCAGTTCAAATGAATCCCTTTGTTTATCAATGATCTTCAATTCAATGATCTTCAATTCTTGGAAATGTTGATTGGCTGATTGAACAATTAAGCAATAAGGCCAGAGGGGGTGTGGAATATTGGCCAATTTACCACGGCAAAGGGCTGTTCTTGTGCACAACGCAATTTGGAGTGCCTGGATACAGTCCTTAGCCATGGTATATTGGCCATATACCACAAACCTCTGTGGTGCCTTATTGCTATAAGGAACTGGTTACTGCGTCATACCTGTGGTATCGAGTCTGATATACACACTGCTGAAATGCTGTTTCAGCCAATCAGCATCAAGGACCCAAACTACATATTAATCCTGTACAGTGCATTTGGAAAGTATTCAGACCCCTTGACTTTTTCCAAATGTTGTTACGTTACAGTCGTATTCTAAAATGGATTAAATTGTTGTTTTTCCTCATCAATCTACACAGAATATACCCCATAATGAAAAAGCAAAAACAGGTTTTTAGAAATTTCACATTTACATAAGTATTCAGACCCTTTACTCAGTACTTTGTTGAAGCACCTTTGGCAGCAATTACAGCCTCGAGTGCTCATAGGTATGATGCTACAAGCTTGGCACACCTGTATTTGGGGAGTTTCTCCCATTCTTCTCTGCAGATCCTCTCAAGCTCTGTCAGGTTGGATGGGGAGCGTCTCTGCACAGCTATTTTCAGGTCTCCCAGTGATGTTAGATCGGGTTCAGAGACTTGTCCCGAAGCCACTCCTGCGTTGTCTTGGCTGTGTGTTTATGGTCTTTGTCCTGTTGGAAGGTGAACCTTCACCCTAGTCTGAGGTCCTGAGCGATCTGGAGCAGGTTTTCATCAAGGATCGCTCTGTACTTTGCTCCGTTCATCTTTCCCTCGATCCTGACTAGTCTCCCAGTCCCTGCTGCTGAAAAACATCCCCACAGCATGATGCTGCCACCACCATGCTTCCCTGTAGAGATGGTGCCAGGTTTCCTCCAGACGTGGCGCTTGGCATTCAGGGCAAAGAGTTCAATCTTGGTTTTATCAGACCAGAGAATCTTGTTTCTCATGGTCTGAGTCCTTTAGGTGCCTTTTGGCAAACTCCAAGCGGGCTGTAATGTGCCTTTTACTGAGGAGTGGCTTCCGTCTGGCCACTCTACCATCAAGGCCTGATTGGTGGGGTGCTGCAGAGATGATTGTCCTTCTGGAAAGTTCTCCTATCTCCACAGAGGAACTCTGGAGATCATTCAGAGCGACCATCGGGTTCTTGGTCACCTGCCTGACCAAGGCCCTTCTCCCCCGATTGCTCAGTTTGGCGGGGCGTCCAGCTCTAGAAAGAGTCTTGGTGATTCCAAACTTCTTCCATTTAAGAATGATGGATGCCACTGTGTTCTTGGGGACCTTCAATGCTGCAGAAATGTTTTGGTACCCTTCCCCAGACCTGTGCCTTGACACAATCCTGTCTCGGAGCTCTACGGACAATTCCTTCGACCTCATGGCTTAGTTTTTGCTCTGACATGCACTGCCAACTGTGGGACCTTGTATAAACAGATGTGTGCCTTTCCAAATTATGTCCAATCAATTGGATTTACCACAGGTGGACTCCAATTCAGTTGTAGAACCATCTCAAGGATGATCAATGGAAACAGGATGCACCTGAGCTCAATTTTGAGTCTCATAGCAAAGGGTCTGAATACTTATGTAAATAAGGTTTTTTTGTTTTTTTGTTTTTAATAAATTTGCAAGAATTTCTAAAAACCTGTTTTCGCTTTGTCATTATAGGTTATTGTCTGTAGATTGATGAGGATTTAAAAAAAATCCATTAAAAAAATATCAAGGGATCTGAATACTTTCCGAATGCACTGTATATGGTTGTTATATCCCACGATGTTCTCTTCCATTTACCTGGGACGAGCAATCTGTTAGGCATCTTGAGTGACTGGTTCATGGATTCTTGTAGTTCACGCTCCAGCTCTTCCACAATGTGTTTCTGATTTAGGACAGAAAGGTTTTAGATTTTCGGTAACACATTATTTTAAGGTACACACATTAGCCACATATTTGCAGTTCATAAGAGCGTACACTACCGTTCAAAAGTTTGGGGTCACTTAGAAAATTCCTTGTTTTCAAAAGAAAAGCCATTTTTTTGTCCATTAAAATAACATCAAATTGATCTGAAATACAGTGTAGACATTGTTAATGTTGTAAATGGATATTGTAGCTGGAAACGGCTGATGTTTTATGGAACATCTACATAGACGTACAGAGGCCCATTATCAGCAACCATCAGTCCTGTGTTCTAATGGCACGTTGTGTTTGCTAATCCAAGTTTATCATTTTAAAAGGCTAATTGAGCATTAGAAAACCCTTTTGCAATTATGTTAGCACAGCTGAAAACTGTTGTGCTGATTAAAGAAGCAATACAACTGGCCTTCTTGAGACTAGTTGAGTGTCTGGAGCATCAGCAATTGTGGGTTCGATTACAGAGTGTCTAGTTTGAGAAACAGACGCCTCACAGGTTGTCAACTGGCAGCTTCATTAAATAGTACCCGCAAAACACCAGTCTCAACATCAACAGTGAAGAGGCGACTCTGGGATGCTGACCTTCTAGGCAGAGTTGCAAAGAAAAAGCCATATCTCAGACTGGCCAATAAAAATAAAAGATTAAGATGGTCAGTCTGAGATTTGGCTTTTTCTTTGCAACTCTGCCTAGAAGGTCAGCATCCCGGAGTCGCCTCTTCACTGTTGACATTGAGACGTGTTTTGCAGGTACTATTTAATGAAGCTGCCAGTTGGGGACCTGTGAGGTGCCTGTTTCTCAAACTAGACAATCTAATGTATTTGTCCTCTTGATCAGTTGTGCACCGGGGCCTCCCACTCCTCTTTCTATTTTGGTTAGAGCCAGTTTGCACTGTTCTGTGAAGAGAGTAGTACACAGCGTTGTACGAAATCTTCAGTTTCTTGGCAATTTCTCGCATGGAATAGTCTTCATGTCTCAGAACAAGAATAGACTGACGAGTTTCAGAAGAAAGTTGTTTCTGGCCATTTTGAGCCTGTAATCGAACCCACAATTGCTGATGCTCCAAATACTCAACTAGTCTGAAGAAGGCCAGTTGTATTGCTTCTTTAATCAGCACAACAGTTTTCAGCTGTGCTAACATAATTGCAAAAGGGTTTTATAATTATCAATTAGCCTTTTAAAATGATAAACTTGGATTAGCAAACACAATGTGCCATTGGAACACAGGACTGATGGTTGCTGATAATGGGCCTCTGTACGCCTATGTAGAAAAAATCAGCCATTTCCAGCTACAATAGCCATTTACAACATTAACAATGTCTACACTGTATTTCTGATCAATTTGATGTTGTTTTAATGGACAAAAAAATTGCTTTTCTTTCAAAAATAAGGACATTTCTAAGTGACCCCAAACTTTTGAACGGTAGTGTATATAAGTCACTAATAAGGCCTTTATTGTGTCTTATTAGCCATATATTAGGCATTAATTAAGGGTTACTGGAAAATCCTTTCTGCTAACCCTAATGCCTAACTCTCACCTTAAATTAAGACCAAAAAGCTCATTTTGTACAATATTGCCAATATAGATGGAGAGGGGAGGGGGGAGGGAGGGAGGGAGGGAGGGGGGGGGGGGGAGAGGGAGGGAGGGAGAGAGGGATGGAGGGGGGAATAAGAATGGGTTACACCTACTGAGAAGGGGAGATGGGACAGACAGTACAAATAATGCTTATTTAATTTTTTCTCTAGTGTTTTTAGTTTCTTTGTATATGTACTTTTTGAAAATTATTGCCTGTCTGTGATCTGAACCCCTCACAGAAAAAATAAACAATAAAAAGTTGGTCACTAAAAATATAGCCAGTTTTGACTTTGTAGCTGGCCTATCTAAGGGGAAATGACTCAGTTCTGCCTCAAGGACAAAACTCATGGACATAAACATCAACCTGCATTTTTCCCTTTCCTTTGCTGGTTCCAGAAACTGCCCTAAAAACATTGTAAGCACCTGCTCTAAAATCAAGGGCATCTCAAGGACAATCCGTGCATTTCAAGTTCAATCGTGGAGGCCCACAGGACATTCCTTCCTTCAGACCTGGAAACCCAGTTTAAGGAACTCTCTTGCCAATCAATGATATCAATTGAAAGAAACGACAGTTCTTGCAGGCTATTTGAATAGCCCTGCTGCTAATGCTGTCTTATATCCTGGACAAAAACTCTTCACCAATTCTATTTTTGGTACAGAAAATCATGAGAATCAACTCAACAGTATCAACTGCTTTTCAACTGAATGTCTTATGTGACTAAGGATGCTATAGATGTTCCTTTGTATTTTTCACTGAATGGTAAAATAAAGGGGGAGGTAAACCTTCATTTCTTTGAGGAGATCCAACATCTCTTTCTTGGCCTTGTTGAACATTTCTCCCTTAGATTCCTTCAAGTGATTCCTCAGTTCCTTTCGCATATTCTCAAGACGGTCTGTTCCCGTATACTGTGCCGCCCCTAAAATGCAGACAGCACATTTCACAATCATGGTATGACATTATTTGCTACTGAAATACTGCTAATGAAATTGTAGAAAAAATGTGTTATCGGAAATGTTATCCCAATACTAGGTCAACGTTTCTGTGCAATGTAGATGAATAGTATAGAATAGCTTATTAAATATCAATCTCAAAACCTACTTTCATAGCATGGGTGCATTGTGTTACTGATTGACTTTAGGAGAATGTTGTAGATTTCTTTCTTCCTCTCACGGATGTCCCTCTTTAGTTTTGCCTTCAATTTGGTTTCCTTTCAGACAGAAAATATTATTCAACAACATTGTCGTTAACTATATTTGGATTCTCTTGACTAATAATTATAATAATAATAATATTAATTATCATAACATCACACTAGCAACATAACTACAATTTGACAAGCTTTGCTTGATGCTCTGGCGGGAAAGGATCAGATGACAAATTGAGGGCCAATAAATAGACCGTATTCATGTGGTGGCCATTATTCATTGATTAACGTTCATTTTCTGAAGGGGTAGAAAGTGCTCCATTTAAAACACAACAAATCCTACAAAAATGTCACCTGTATATTAGATTAGCTGTTAGCACATTGTCATCATTATCCGCCCAAAAGATTCCACGGTTTACTATTGACAGCACTAGCCATATTTGGGTAGCACGTTCAGGGTGAATAAGGTCTCTAGGCCAAATGACAGTAGCCTAGCAGTCATGCCACTTCTTGCCACTCCTTGTCATGCAAAACAAATGTTTGGCATGATGAAGGAGTTCACATGAGAGCACAAATGAAAGCCTATTTGCTGTAATTAAACCTTTCCAGTAGTTTTGAGTGAATACAAATATCGCACCCTACCTCCGTCTTGAGGAATGTCAGAAGCAGTAACACTTCTGGGTGCTTCTCAACCAAGCGGTTTGTGTCAAGGGTGAAGTTATCAATCAAATAATTGATTGAGCTGTCCTTGCCTTGATTTCTGAAATAAATTATGTTTTAATTAGAGCTATACGGGACCTACATTTATTAAAATAATGTTTGGAATCCTGCAAATGGGTGAAGTTGCACACTATTGTCACTATTCTGCTTCTCAGAGGCCAATATGAGAAGGTAGGTAGCCTTGTCTGAGCAAGAACGCCCAATAGTCCCAGAGGCCGATACGTAGCCTGAGCGTAATGAACAAAATAGATACTGGCAACAACATTGTGTTAGTTATTATTTTCTTTGTTGATCTTATAACTGTTGATATTATAAAAAATTAAAGATAACTCACGGGAAATATTTCTTGAACGTTTCATTGCTGAGACCTCTCATACATGAGGCCAAACTGTCATTAATGTTTCTTTCCCTTTGCCTTTTCTGTCCCTTTTTTCTGATTGGTTTGTAAACTCCATTTTTCTTGCATAATGTCTTCAATACCTTGTGGTACCCACTGCCTTTTTTTCCTTTCTAGAAACAAAATGTAAAACATGGTTATAGGCTTTTTACAACTCACAGCATAAATTATTTTCCAACAACCTAATTTGTTATGCGTACTAATATCTTCAATATGTGTACATTTGTGACTTACTGGTTCTATCACTTTATCCTTGGCAATTTTCTCACATGAGTCTACTGACTGTCGAACTCCTAGTGAGAGGCATTGTTCAAAAGCCTCATAAGCCTCGTCAATAGATTGACCAATGGTTTCGAGCCCCTCTTTCAGGTTATTTTCCGGAACCTGGCACACCACTTCTTTGCTGTCTGTCTGAAATCCAAAATCAAAGCTTTTAATATACTACAGTTATTTACACGAAAGAGGTATATAAACTGGAATAAATTATTTTGTTCTGCTTGAAGTACAATACTATGTCACTGCTTTTGGCTCCTTGTATCAGAGAGAGTATCCCATAGGCTCCAGAAACATAATCTGAAATCTTTGTGCGACGATCATTGAGATTTCTGAGAAATTCCTGAAGTTTGGGTATTTCTGAAACATGTTAATTTAAAGAGAGGTTTTAAGCAATGTATGTCTTAGTGGAGCAATTGTGGTCTGCATGACTACACTGATGAACACTCTTGGCTAAACATGTTTTGAATTGAAGGGTAACTAAACTGTACTATCTAGAACCCAAAGGGGTTCTTCAGTTGTCCCCATAGGAGAACCCTTTGAAGAACCATTTTTAGATCCAGGTATAACCCTTTTGCTCCCAGGTAGGCACATATAAAGTTATTTCAAATTAAATGAGGTCCATATCAAAGTCACAGGATGCAAGCTTTAATGACTTTACCATAGAACATTGGGCATTCGAATGTGTATTGGGAACTTAATCTTGGAGGACAGTGACATGATGTCAGGGTATGAAACAACAGTTAATGTAATATCACTGGTTAACTTTTGGATTTTTTATGTAATAAAACCAGTTAATGTAAAAACATTTTAAAGTTATTACATTAACCGGTAGTTATTACATTAACTGGTGAGTAACAACTTTTTTGATGAATTATGTAATAACTTTAACCAACCAAGTAATAACATACCAAAATCTATGTTTTTTTGTACTACTTCCCTCATTTTGATGCACATACCACCACCCACTGCCAATTACAACACAAACAGACTCATGTACATCATACGGGAACACTCTTACATAGACACACTCACAAGCACACACACACACACACACAAACACACACACACACACACACACACACACACACACACACACACACACACACACACACACAACAAAGTAACTGAGAGCATACAGCACAGCAAAGCGCATTGTGTGTTGTGCTTAAAAGAGTCTGTGCAGAAACACTGACTTTTGGGTTTAAAAATGAAGATGCCATTAACTGCGTCCCAAAAATGTATGCGTTAACATTGACAGCCCTAAATTGACCACATATTTACTTTATCTATGACATTTTCGAAAAAGGCTCAGTGCCGTTATCTTCGCAAGGTAGGCTATTGAAAGGTATTGAAAACAGGGGTGTCATTAATTTGGACCCCTACCTTTTTTAGAAAAAAAAAACATTCTCTGAGCAAATACAATTATATAATTTCCCTTTTTTTTTGCATACAATATAGCTCAGTATTTGAATTCTTTATTTTAAACAGTCATTTTTGCTCATCTTTATCAAGGGTGTCAATAATTTCATACCCTACAGTATACTAATTTTCTTGGACCAGCGATGTGCTAAGCCCAATCCAGATGGGATGGCGTATCGCTGCAGAATACTGTGGTAGCCATGCTGGTTAAGTGTGCCTTGAAATCTAAATAAATCACAGACAGTGTCACCAGCAAAGCACCCCCACACCATAACACCTCCTCCTCCATGCTTTACGGTGGGAAATACACATGCGGAGATCATCTGTTCACCCACACCACGCCTCACAAAGACACAAGGACAAATTTCCACCTGTCTAATATCCATTGCTTGTGTTTCTTGGCCCAAGCAGGTCTTTTCTTCTTATTGGTGTCCTTTAGTAGTGGTTTCTTTGCAGCATTTCGACAATGAACAGTTAATGTTGAGATGTGTCTGTGACTTGAACTCTGTGAAGCATTTATTTGGCCTGTAATTTCTGAGGCTGATAACTCTAATGAACTTATCCTCTGCAGCAGAGGTAACTCTGGGTCTTCCATTCCAGTGGCGGTCCTCATGAGAGCCAGTTTCATCATAGCGCTTGATGGTTTTTGTGACTGCACTTGAAGAAACTTTCAAAGTTCTTGAAATGTTATGGATTGACTGACCTTCATGTCTTAAAGTAATGATGGACTGTCGTTTTTCTTTGCTTATTTATGCTGTTCTTGCCATAATATGGACTTGGTCTTTTACCAAATAGGGCTATCTTCTGTATACCCCCCCCCCCCCCCCCCCCCCCCCCCCCCCCCCCCCCCACACCTTGTCACAACACAACTGTTTGGCTCAAACGCATTAAGAAGGAAAGAAATTCCACAAATTAACTTTTACGAAGGCACACCTGTTAATTGAAATGCATTCCAGGTGGCTACCTCATGAAGCTGGTTGAGAGAATGCCAAGAGTATGCAAAGCTGTCATCAATGCAAAGGGTGGCTATTTGAAGAATCTCAAATATAAAATATATTTTGATTTGTTTATCACTTTTTTGTTTACTACATGATACCATATGTATTATTTCATAGTTTTGATGTCTTCACTATTATTCTACCATGTAGAAAATAGTAAAAAGAAAAGAAAAACCCTGGAATGAGTGGGTGTGTCCAAACTTCTGACTGGTACTGTATATAGTTTATAATTAGTGAAAGACATAATGTAGTTAATGTAGAAAAAATATATTTTTCAAAGCCATTTTAGCTGTCACACTAATTGTTTGATCCGAATCTAGCGTAGAATCATGGGAATTTGTCCAGCTATGCCAATGTTGCCTCCCTTCCAAGGCAAGTGTTGCTAGGCAACCCCCTGGACATGCCAGAACAAGCCTGCTCCCCCTATGGTTAAAGCCAATGTGAGGAACTTGCTAGCAAATGTTTGCGCTATGACATTTTTTATAAATACTGCACCACAAAAATGATTTGCTAGATTCAAGATGTGTAGTTAGACGAAGCAAGGAAAGTAAACTTCAAAACGTGATGTCGTTGTTTGTGATTTGCAGCTGTTGTTGGTAAGTAATGCATCCTGCAAGCTTCTAAAATGACATACTCAACCTTTAAATAAAGGCATATGAAACACAGATTATTACCTCTTGCGTAATGAACTCAATCTCTGCAGTGTATTTTCTGTCCCTGGTCATGTAATGTAATGTAATGTAATGTAATATGCCATTTAGCAGACGCTTTTATCCAAAGCGACTTACAGTCATGCGTGCATACATTTTTTGTGTATGGGTGGTCCCGGGGATCGAACCCACTACCTTGACGTTACAAGCGCCGTGCTCTACCAGCTGAGCTACAGAGGACCACATGTTAGCCTCAACCTGAATCATGACTGAGGTGCATGCACTGATGTCTCCAGAGGGCAGTACATTTCTCTGATCCAAGATGCTGTTAATCAAAGAGCTTTTACCAGCCCCAGTCTTCCCAAATACACCCACTACCTCTTTTTTGTCGGTCTCCAACACTTTGATTTTATGGCTGTTAGAAGTGAAAGAAAATGTTATTGTTCTCGTCAATTTAAATAATTGAAGTAATTTAGGTAATATACTGTATCTCTACATGCAATTCACTGTTCCCCATTAGAAATACTTGCCTAAGGAATTCTTTGAACTTCAATGAACTTTGCTGATCGGCAGGTTTGCTTTGGAGTTTGCCTTTGACCCGTTTCATGATCTCTTTTCCCTTTGTCATGCCATCTATTCCAGGCAGAGTAAACACACAAGTTACAAACCTGCTAATGGAACCAAAAATACATAAAAGTTGCAGAAATATCACACTGGAAAAAGGTACTCTTGACGCTTAGAATGTAAGACAGTATCTATCAAGGGTGTGGTACTTCAACATTTGCTATGCCAATGATAATTTGCTTCCTACCTGCTCTTCCCAATAGAGTGCCACAAAGCTGTTTGGGTGTATTGGTTATTAGTGGATTAGCCTCATCAGCTTTCCTTTTGGCTGAAAATCAGCAGTTCATCAGTATTGACATGGATTAAATATTGTGTGTGTACAGTATGTGTGTGCAGTAGTTGCTATGCCAATAATATTGGCATTATTCATTATTGACATTCATTTAAGGTTCTTAACAGTCAAAACCATTGTTTTTCATCAAATTGGATGATATTTGGATGAAACAGTTCAAGGGGTAACCAAAATATGAAAAACGACTGTTGCTTGTACATCAATAAAGTTACATTAAAAATGACTGGCTTTCTCCTCTCTGTCAAAAACCTGAGTTCAGCCAGATAGCCTAACTATTGGCCTATTGGGGCAAGATGTGTGAGGGTTTGACTGTGGTTAGGCCTTACTCCCACTAGGGGGAGTGGTAGGACCGCAGTCAAGCCCTCACATCATAACTAGTGGTGGTTAATGATCCCCAATCAGAGACAGCTGTCTAGAGTTTGTCTCTGTTTGGGGATAGTAGTTAGGCACCTCTCACATCCACCTGTGTGTGGATCATTGTTTCGTGTTTGTGCCTGTCCGCAATTGTGTTCACAGCACGTAAGTCACTTGGTGCTTTTCTCTCCTTGTTTATTTTTGATAACTTATAGTGTGAATAGGCTAAATAAAAAGGATGTCACTCCATGAGCGCTCCGTCTACCGCCCCTTAACTACACACTGTGACAAGATGCAACATCACAGCATCTTATTGTCTATCTGCAAGCTAGGAGAGTTTATGAGTATTATCCACCCTGCCCATTCAGTCTGTCCTATAGCCTTACTGATGGTTAGAGATGAGAGAAAGTGTACACTCAAATTCTGAACATTCTAATTTGGAAAATATATTATGGGTGATGTTTTGATCACTCAAAGGCTAATTTACATAGGAAATAGGATTTGACCATTTTATCTATTTCACATATTTTTTATATACAAATAAGCAGTGTTTTGTAATAGTTCATCATATTACGCAATATAATGACAATAATAGTAATAACAATAATAATAATAGTAATTTATTTAATTAGTAAAACACTCTCACACCGAAGGCGCTACAAAAAAAAATATATATTTTAAATAATAATACACAATAATAATAAAAACATACGTATATTCACAATATATGTGCTCAATAGCTTTTGTACCTTGAGTAGAAGTAGCACAGGGAGAGGGCATCTTACTGGTTGAGGGCTCAATCTGAAAAACAACCAAATCTAATCATCAACAGGTTAATTAAAATAAATTATATATATATATATATATATATAACAAATTCATAGAAATCTTTAGTTTGAGATGTGTATGCTACTGTATTTGGGGAAATTATTAAAGCTAGCATGTTCCGGTAGACTTCCAGTCATTGCGCTAATGCTACTTTGAAATGGCTCGGGAAACTACATTCAACTTCCTTCAAACTGCATGCAGAGACATAAAAATGGTATCAATGAGTTCATCAGACTTGGGGCTGAATTACCAAAATCTTCCATTAACCCTTTTAGTTTGCACAAATTGAACTTAACAGAAATTACAAAAATTACTTCAATAACTTAATTCATATCCCTTAAAATACTTGGTCCTATAGGCTCAACAAAGCCATCTTATATCTATAAAATAGCTTGTTACATAATTCTTCAAGTTTCTTTTTGAATGTAAGCCTTGGTCCCCAAGGTGGAATCAAGGCCTCCTGAGCTTTTTCTTCACCAAGTAGGAGCTTGAAATTTGTTTCAGAAATGTATTGAGCTAAAAGTACAATTATACAATGGAATCATATTAAAATAGGGTGGAATCTGCAGTCTAATTACGAGGGTTTGAGTACTTTGGGCAACAGGCAGACAGGGGTGCAGTAATTTCAGAAAATTACTCCTGGGGATGTATGTATGAAGTGTCTCAGAGTAGGAGTGCTGATCTAGGATCAGGTCTCCATGTCCATGTTATAATACTCATTGTGATCTAAAAGACAAAACTGATCCTAAATCAGCATTCCTACTCTGAGACGCTTGATTCATACAGCTCCAGATTACATTACGGGGTGGCAGGTAGCTTAGTGGGTAAGAGCATTGTGCCAGTAACCGAAAGGTCACTGGTTCTAATCCCCAAGCCGACTACGTGAAAAATCTGTCAATGTGCCCTTAAGCAAGGCACTTAACCCTAATTGCTCCTGTAAGTCGCTCTGGATAAGAGCGTCTGCTAAATGACTAAAATGTAATATCTTTTTTTATTTAAAAAAAATCTGTTTTTACATAATTTATGTACACACTGGTATGTTCCTGGATTTAATTAATATAAGGTTAAAAAGTAGTTAAATATTCATTAAATATGAAATATTCTAAAATATTCATGAAATTTCACCTACAATGATTTGTGATCAAGTGTGTTCTGCAAACAATTGATCAATGAGGCCCTTTGTATCCAGTTTTGTGTGGTTGCCATCAAAGTTAGCTACTGTAAATGTATTGTCAGTAAGTTCCGTTTTGGAATGCAGTTACCTAGTTTGGAATGGTGAGGAGGTTTACATGGCCAGCACTACTAAACAGGTATGTAGTTAACATGTTTCGAGTGGCTATGTACTAGAAGAGGGTATTTATTATGCGGGTCCCACTTTATTTGAAATGCATCTTATGAAGCCCATATTTATAATTTGATACCCAATTACCTTACCTTTAAAGTTGTTGATGTACTCACTGAGTACCCCATTCTTGTAATTTCCCTTTGACATAGTCGTCCATGATGCTACACTACGGAATAGAAGATGAAACAAGAAATACATGTTAAATTAAATAAGACAAATTAGTTAAAGAGCGATAAATCCATGCGGCTCGCTCAAGATTGACTTTGAAATTTGACGTTTGGAGAAATGTGGATAAATGTCAGAATCTGAAGTCAAATTGGTAAAAACTTTTATTGTAAATAAGAATATGTTTCTAGACACTTCTACATACAGTGGGGAGAACAAGTATTTGATACACTGCCGATTTTGCAGGTTTTCCTACTTACAAATCATGTAGAGGTCTGTAATTTTGATCATAGGTACACTTCAACTGTGAGAGACGGAATCTAAAACAAAAATCCAGAAAATCACATTGTATGATTTTTAAGTAATTAATTTGCATTTTATTGCATGACATAAGTATTTGATACATCAGAAAAGCAGAACTTAATATTTGGTACAGAAACCTTTGTTTGCAATTACAGAGATCATACGTTTCCTGTAGATCTTGACCAGGTTTGCACACACTGCAGCAGGGATTTTGGCCCACTCCTCCATACAGACCTTCTCCAGATCCTTCAGGTTTCGGGGCTGTCGCTGGGCAATACGGACTTTCAGTACCCTCCAAAGATGTTCTATTGGGTTCAGGTCTGGAGACTGGCTAGGCCACTCCAGGACCTTGAGATGCTTCTTACGGAGCCACTCCTTAGTTGCCCTGGCTGTGTGTTTCGGTCGTTGTCATGCTGGAAGACCCAGCCACGACCCATCTTCAATGCTCTTACTGAGGGAAGGTTGTTGGCCAAGATCTCGCGATACATGGCCCCATCCATCCTCCCCTCAATACGGTGCAGTCGTCCTGTCCCCTTTGCAGAAAAGCATCCCCAAAGAATGATGTTTCCACCTCCATGCTTCACGGTTGGGATGGTGTTCTTGGGGTTGTACTCATCCTTCTACTTCCTCCAAACACGGCGAGTGGAGTTTAGACCAAAAAGCATCAGACCACATGACCTTCTCCCATTCCTCCTCTGGATCATCCAGATGGTCATTGGCAAACTTCAGACGGGCCTGGACATGCACTGGCTTGAGCAGGGGGACCTTGCGTGCGCTGCAGGATTTTCATCCATGACGGCGTAGTGTGTTACTAATGGTTTTCTTTGAGACTGTGGTCCCAGCTCTCTTCAGGTCATTGACCAGGTCCTGCCGTGTAGTTCTGGGCTGATCCCTCACCTTCCTCATGATCATTGATGCCCCACGAGGTGAGATCTTGCATGGAGCCCCAGACCGAGGGTGATTGACAGTCATCTTGAACTTCTTCCATTTTCTAATAATTGCGCCAACAGTTGTTGCCTTCTCACTAAGCTGCTTGCCTATTGTCCTGTAGCCCATCCCAGCCTTGTGCAGGTCTACAATTTTATTCCTGATGTCCTTACACAGCTCTCTGGTCTTGGCCATTGTGGAGAGGTTGGAGTCTGTTTGATTGAGTGTGTGGCCAGATGTCTTTTATACAGGTAACGAGTTCAAACAGGTGCAGTTAATACAGGTAATGAGTGGAGAACAGGAAGACTTCTTAAAGAAAAACTAACAGGTCTGTGAGAACCGGAATTCTTACTGGTTGGTAGGTGATCAAATACTTATGTCATGCAATAAAATGCAAATTAATTACTTAAAAATCACATAATGTGATTTTCTGGATTTTTGTTGTAGATTACGTCTCGCATAGTTGAAGTGTACCTATGATCAAAATTACAGACCTCTACATGCTTTGTAAGTAGGAAAACCTGCAAAATCGGCAATGTATCAAATACTTGTTCTCCCCACTGTATCTACATAATTTTCCTTCCTCATGATGCCATCTATTTTGTTAAGTGCACCAGTCCCTCCTGCAGCAAAGCACCCCCACAGCATGATGCTGCCACCCCCGTGTAAACAATTGACTTGTGTCATGCACAAAGTAGATGACCTAACCAACTTGGCAAAACTGTAGTTTGTTAACAAGAAATTTGTGGAGTGGTTGAAAAATAAGTTTTAATGACTCCATCCTAAGTGTATGTAAACTTCCGATTTCAACTGTATATCCTAGACACCCA